CGATACATTGATTGATGACATAATCGCTATCGCTTTTGCCTCAGAAGCCAATAGTTTAAAACTTACGGATGTCATATATAGTGTTGATACTCCGTACGATCCGGTAGTAGGCATAGGCATGAGTGAAACGTTAGGAGGAATGTATGACCGACTGATCAGTGATGGAGATGGCAATATCATCCCTAACTGTATTGAGTTGACCCAGGAACAAGTATTATAGGACATAGTGCACACTTTTTAGATATGGAAATAGTCCAAGATTTAGCAGGTTCCCAAGTGCAAATGTATGATAAACGAGACACGATGAGTTCTCTGAAGTCATGTCGCCGATTTCCCCACATTGAGACCAAAACTAGTTATCGTTCGAAGTATGCTGTATTACATAGTAGCCAGTTGTGTCGATTTGCAGTTCGTTGTACACGTATTGAATTTTTTGAGCGAGCGGCAGCTAAGTTGATGAGAGATTGATATGTTAACACACCATTACAAGGCGAATCTTTTAGGCACTAAGCTACATAATTTTCGTCAGGTCTTCTTTAGGAAATCACGCATACATGTTATGGATTCTTGGCGTACAGAAGCCAGAGTACAATTTTGGTGTAGAACATAATATTTGGTATCTTATTTTCCATGGGGGTGATTTATGATTTTATTTCTTTACTTATGGGAATACGGGGCAAGTAAGGGTAGATTAAGAGCGAAATGACAGGGTGTATATTGTCGAAGAAAGTACAGATAACCAACGATGTTGGTATCAACGCAGGTAGCCACTGTGGTATCAATTAGGATGTGATGATTGATTTGAATGTATGTGCTATTAGAGACATGAGGATATTTGAATGGAGCTCACAGTTTTAATAGGTACTCCTCGCAAGAAAATACGCGCAGTGTGGATGAATTCTTGTAGGACATCCCGAGGAAATAAAACTTGAAACATCACAACTGGGACACTCGACAATAGAGTAATGCATAACACTCGACAATAGAATAATGGACGATGGATAAGAACGGCAACGAGTTGCCTAATTTCCCACTAGCAAGGGGGAACACAGTGACCCGTGTCCCTTGCAAAAATATCATTGCTGTAACCAAATTCTTCTAATAATCTCGGATCCCAAATGACGTCATATGACCCAGTGAAACTTCTTCTAAAACTTAGACCCAGTGACGTCACATGACCAGGTGAAAATACAACACCTCGACGGCCTCCAAATCTGCAGTTGAGCCCATGGTCGGGAAGCCCCTTTCGCACATTCCCAGTTTGATCCCTACCGCAAGCCTCCCATACATTGTGTTCGGAGCAACCGGCATTCGGATCCCTGCCGTGGTACCACATATATATATAGCCCCTCCGATAGGACTTGAGGCAAGGCGGGAAGGCTGTATCGGGTTTCGTGCTAAGGTGCTCTCCCATATTGACCTCGTGGCTGACACACATGACATCGTCTTCGCTGCTGATCGCTGTACATCCAGGTGGGTAATTTCTACTACGTGTTGTATCCTTCGCCTACTCCGTAACATGTCCACACCAGACCACTGCTCCACACGGAGAGACCAACTGCTACTCGCTGCTGCTGCTGACCTTCATGACGGATGCTCTACGACATGATTACGACATGGTTGCGACAAGATATCTCGACAAACCGCTTTGAGGAACACCAGGCAGGGAAGTTGACAACAACCACCACACACATTGGATGTAAATCATTTGAAAACTTTCATGCTCTACTGATGGTGTTTACCAACACCCAACATAATATAATAATACAAGAAACAAGCTAACATGATGCAACCTGAATGCTATGCCCTACCTACCATGCACCACGTATACCATTCTCATCTACTGCTGTATAAACATCACTGATGCGTTACCCCAAACAAAGGATCAAAAACGATTTGTAAATTCAAAAAAACGGCGGGAAACACCTGCTGTCCGTGAAATTCAAAAATCTGTAGATGATTTGAAAAACGAGTGATGATGTACTGCTTGCTGTAGACTTCGTTCCACCTTCCATGATTTTTACAATATTATTCCTAATATGTCTAAAAAACCAGCAAGCTGTCAATAGACACTTGCGCCGTGTCCCCTGTGAAGGTTACATTTTACAATAATACACGACACAACGGAGGGATTCCCCCCGATATTTTGTCGTTGACCCAGTAGAGCACTACAGGGGATGTATTGTAAAATGTAAGTTACCCATCTATCTATACAGATGTTTTTGTACTTAGCACCAGCTGGCATCACTGGTATAAATCATCAGTGTTGTATAAAATACTCGAAATAAGTCCAGTACCCAGCCGGTTTCCCTCCACTCACTGAAAAGACTCCACCACATCCCGTTCGACTGTGGGTATATCTCGAATGGGTAGTCTTTCGGTGTGTGCTTTTATTATTCCTTAACTGTTGTTCGCATTAGTGCCGGTTGCCCGATTTAGTGCCGGTGAACGGTCTGGGCACACACCGGCACTAAATAGGGCCCAGTACTGCTGTACACTGCTTGCTGTACGTAGGTATGTATGTGGAAGCCCCATGCTTGTGGCGGGCGGCGCCTCGAGATCGTAAACAAACCTGAGACCATATGGTTCATAGACAATGCTGCCGGCTGCATGTAGACTATGCCATACATACCTCATTGCTTTCGAAGACGAAACCAGCCGCACCGAAGTTGACCCTGGTTCCCTTGGGAATTTCGAAGATGACTCCCTTGATCCACATGATGGTCTCTGCAAAGATGAAGACGTCGCCGTAGCCCTGGGCCACCTCGATGATCTGTTGTTGGCAGCAATACAATCAATCATTGTTTGCTTTTACCCGTGCGAGAGTCGAATTAGCTTGGCTGTCAGGGCTCTGAGTGAGACAGAGACAGATGGAAGAGCAGCAATCTATGTACAGCAGCAGCAGCAGTCCACATGCAGTCCGTAGATAGTTCAAGAAGAGCCGCAGCACCGTCTGATCTGCGGGCAACATCGCCTATGAGCAATAATTCTACGGGAGAATATTAGCCGAATGCCAAACACCTGAAGATCAGGCAGACATTGTATGGTGAACAAAAATGAAGCTGCCATCATTTCATCACTGATCTGATGGGTAGATGTGCCAAGCCCTACAGGATTTCCCATAGTGTGTGGCAGCGCCAGACCAAATCATGTAGACTACGTGAATTGCGCCTGTTTTTTTAATACTACATACAGTTGTACCAGTATATATCAGATGAACAAAGAAGGCAGAGAGAGCGAAGGATGTGGCAATCGATCAACGTTCTTCCCTCATCGCGTTGCGGAAATCATGCATAAGTGGAACACCTGGCGTGGATGGATCGCATCACGGGCGGTTGGCTTTTGAGCCTGCCAAAAGATCTCCGAGCGTACTTTCGGGTGGTTCGGTGCCAGAGGCTGAAGCCCGACACCTCGATAAGTTGCAACGAACTCAGCAAGCACGCGGTTGGAGAGAGAGACATGCACACACGCAGAAGATGCAGGCATCGGAAAGAAGTTCATCACACTTTTACGGCTGCGACTCTCACACACCTTGGTCTCAGCGCAGACAATGTCGCCCATAATGGCAACGGAGCCGCGAACGAGTGTCCTGTCCATCACGAGATCGTCGCAGCTGTAGATGTACTTGGCGTCCTCCGCTGTTGGATCCCCCCCGTCTTGGGCAGGGGTGTCAGCTGAGGTGATGAGCACCACTAGCACGACCAGCAGCCGAACAAGGTTCTTCGCCACCGTGACGAGGCCCGGAGGGCGGCGGTCTCGCCGAGGAGAGGAGATGGCAGAGGCCATCACGGTGCGGTGTTGTTCCGTGTTCTGGTTGCTTCTATCAATCTTCTTGCTTTCCGTGGAGAGCAAAAGAGAGGAGTGAGAGAGGCAAGGCAGTGTGTAGGGGTGGAGCAACAGGCAACAGCATCGGAGGAACGGGCTACAGGCAGGTGGGATCCACAACTTGGAATCAATTTGCATTCTTGCATAAAATAATTTGAACCCTGAGCAAATTCGCTGTGGTTCCCAGACCAAAATTACCCGTCGTGGGCAGAGGTCGTGCGCACCTCCGAACGATGAGGTACGCGGCATATATGGGAGACTGGAAGGCCCAAAGAGAAATGTGTCTCTCCAGCAAAACTGTGGTAATCTTCGAGGGATTCAACACGGACGGGCGCAGGCCGCTCCGCATTCACCCGTTCACCCGCTAGTCTAAGTTTAGTTTCGTGTGGCCGGACAATCTATTTTATTTTTCTTCACGTTGCTTCACGTTGCTTCACGTTGCTTCACGTGCAGTCATCGCGTCTTGCGGACCTCATTTTTTTTTTTTCTTATCGGCTGGGTTTTCCGTTCATTTTTGTCTTGAATACATCAACGAACCTCAGCTACCCGGGTTGTTATGTTGACTACTGCGTGATGTGCCGTATGTCAACAATCGGCCGAGCTATCGGAATGTTTGACAATAACCCGAAGGTGATGACTTCTTCTCCCGTGTCAATAGAGTATCTACATACATACCTGGCATACCTGCGGTGGCACCTTCACCTCGTTTCTCACCCCCACCCCTTTCGTTTGAAACTGCCGCACGACTACGGTAGAGTGGGGGGGCGGGATATATATCAGAGAATAATGATCGTCTTGAAGTAAGTGTGGCATATCGAACTACTGTACAATCGTTGGTCAAGGGCGACCCATTTTTCTGGGTCAATTTTACTTCTATTTTTTCCTTGAATAAAAGGATACATGTGTGTGTCTGGTAGCTATTCATTGCAATCGACGGGTTTAATTGTGAAAACAACAACAACAAGCACGGATACACGGTAAACCGTGGGCTTTATTGGAGGGTGGTTTGTCCCATCCGTACTAGTCTACTCTAGAAGCCTCTTTAGACTATGTTCTCTTCGGTGCAGACCATCTTGCCGCTGACGCACCCGCTGGTATCACACAGGCAGGGTTTGTTCACCTTTCTTACCTTTGGCGATGGTGGAGGGGTCCGGTTTGAGGTGGCCGCTCACTGCTCGGATTCGGTGGTAATGGTGTTAATGGCGGCATGGTGCGCGAGGGCGCCCGTCACTTTCATTCGATGCCTTCCGCTGGCAGGAAAGGTTCAGGTGCATGGATGCACCACATTGACTTGCTTTCTTGAGACGCCTTGTTTTGACACTTTTCAATAAATATTTCGATTTTTTCGCTCCAGCAACTCTGAGCGCCAATCTACACCGTTCAGTGAGTATGTGTGATGCGCCAGTCGGGGGCACACAGGATGATTTCTTCCACCTCTTCTCCGGCAATTCTTACTCCATTTTTCGACGCGGGAAGGGCTTAAAGCCCCGCTCTTGTTTGTGTTCACTGGCAACTACTGTATGCTTCACTTTGACACTTTACGGTTGTTCACTCCGGATAACTCAAGACCCCCAACCTAGAGCCAGAAGGTTAGCGAGGAAAGCAACCGAATCCATCAACCACTGTTGTCTTGTGGCCGAGCCTACAGTCGTCTCCGCTTTGAAGGCACTCGACTTACGGGAACTCCCCGTGGTAAACAAACATTTTTTTTCAGAAGCGTGATGCTCCGTGAACGCAAACCGTGGTACATTGGGGAGTATCATTTCTACTTCGCGCCCCCCCTGAAAAAATGAAACGTGCCGGAAGGCGGCAACTATTAAATCGTGCTCCGCGAGGTCTGCGTGTCTGTGCAGCTGTTTATGTACCTATGTGGGTATGCGAGATTCCTTTCGAGCGAGGACGAAGACAAGTGGTGCAATCCATCATCGATCACAGAGAGAGGTGTGGTACACTCCATTCATTCTCTCTTGTTGAGCAGTTTGGTTGGTCCTACTTGTACAAGGGAAGGGGGGAACGGAAGAGTTGGGAACATGCGAAAAGCTCAAGATACGAACCACATCGATATAAAGGGGACTCGGCCGTTTTCTTGGGCCAATATCAGAGGTTGATCCTTGCCCCGACCTTGATGATTCTAAGCTGCCGGCCCATACCTTCGATCGCTGTGAATCCGTCCACATACTATTTGGAATCTGATGTCAAGCGTAGCGGAAGGGCAAGGGAAATGCAACACACGATTCGAGATTTTTTGTGGAAGAAGTAAAATATTTCTCGTGTCCTTGTTGTGCTCTACTGATGGAATACCTCTCAGAGGAACCAGTGGTGTGTTCATTGCGTGCCACCGTCGACCAGGCTGTTGGTATTTCATTCCTTCTAGCTAATAGCCAAAATTGAAAACATCGGACTACTTGATTGAGCGTAACAAGTATCGCATCAACTTGCGGAACGCTTCCACTATTGTGCTCACTGTTTTTCGTATGCGGCCGTGCTTGTGGAGCCGCATCATTGGTCGCATGGCACGCCTCCATCGACCCCGGGGAGGGTGAGATAATGTCCCCTGACGCCTACCACCCCCCAAGGATATCGTAACGATCTTCTTGTAGTTCATTCAGTGGTTAGATGCGTCCTTTGTTGGTCGTCCTGCCGTTCCCCTTACACCTGTCACACAGTACGAACCCCGTGAATCAATACCGTCGCGGGCCCATCGGTTGAGAGACTCAAGAGCTTGCCCTACAAGAACGACAGATTTTGTGTGTACGTCATGCTTCTTTGGATATGTCTTCAGCGTGATTAGTGGTTCCTTTGGTGGAATGTATGTGACCTACTCGCAGCGGCCGTTTTTCGTGAGTTTCCGTTTAGCAGGCGCTCTCGGGCATTCGGATGCGGATAGAGGCTCTTTCGTGTGCAAATATAGGAACCTTGCATTGAATGCAAGTGTAGACTATCATTCATTTATCGCGCAGAACCGAACTTCACTTTGTGAAATGACGACGACTCCCTCCATGTTCCAGCATTTCTGGCCGTGTAATACCGGGTACTTCTTTTGGGAACAGTCGTGCAGTAAACGGATGGTGTTCTGTGTAGCATTTTCAGGCAAGTCGCGTGTTGTCCTGCTGTGAACTATTGCTGCTTGCGCACATGGCTGGACGCTCTGGAGGAAGTGAAAATCCCATTTCCCGACGACCTCCCGGTCGGATTCGAGCCATCACTCCTTTTCATAGTGACCGGGGTGCTGTGCTTATGGGGCATAGTACTCCTGGCTGACTCGGATAGAGCAACCGAGGCGATCGTCGCCACACTCAAAGCATCGTTCGGCATCACGTACGAAGTGCAATACTGTTCATCATCTGGCCTGTATTGAAAAAATAAAAGTTCATCACGCCATCTTCTCGGCCGCACACCTTCCCTCATTGTGTCACGACATTTTTGGACGGGACCACACTCTTCGCATGTGAACCCACCGTGAAATCTACTGTGTACATCACACCCTACTATGTATGAATGTACTCACGCCCTCTTCTTGTTTGTAGCTGCGTGCTCGAAGGTCACACTCAAGGTGGTCCTCCCGACCGAAACTGGTACATTTTTTGCAGAACGAGAGCCCCGCATCGATGTATTGTCATTCATACGAACCTCAGCCCTGCTCGTTTCGTGCGCCGAAGCATACAGCGTGCTGAACCGCAAGTTCTCATCGAGAGAACTAGTGTATTTACTACAAAAAGACATCGGTAATTATAGGTCATGAGGAGTGCGGAGTATCGCCTTCCGGCCGGCACACGCACCATTATTGACTCCCCCCCCCCCAACGCCCATATCGGACAGACAATTTGCACGTGTCAACCACCAACAGCCAACAGCAAACAAGCACGGGTCAAGAGCACTAGCGACGGCTGCTCGCTCGCTAGCTGCGGACTTGTTACGCCAGGAAGAAGACTGAAGTAAGCCCAGGGGCGAAAGGTACACCATGCAACCTGCGATCTCATACTTTCAGCGAGTGCGTACACCTCGACCGACGTTATCGAAAAAAACTACCACATACTAACCAGCACACCAGAGGGATAGTGACAGGCGCCATCCGCCGAAAAGGAAATCGGGCCCCCACTGTAGCTGAATAATCATATTAAAGAAAATAAATCGACTACTTTCTTGCAAAATAACACGCCCAGAACCATCGTCCAAGAAGTATCGCAAGAAACAAATCAGTTCGAACTCCGATATTTTTTCGCCACACCTCCCCGGATCTTTTTTACTCTCCTCGTCAATCGATTCCGGAGGGGTACAATCAACCCAATTGAAACACATAAACTGGTCCGTCGTGCTTCGTTTGTTTAATCCATGCCGACGTCAAACTCCAAGATCTTAGCAGAGGATATTTCGACCCCGTCACCCACTCTCAAACAAAATTCGGATATCTACCGCGGGTGTCGGAAACAGAACTCACACGTACCTAGCGCGTGTCCCACATCAAACGGTTGCGGGTTTTCTCTGTCGACGTCCCACCCCCACACAAACACGCCGTCTAGCTGCACTTCGAAGCCCTTCTCCGCGACGTGGAGAGAGTATCCAAAGCTAACGATCCCGTCGACGCCGTTGCTGCCCCCGCTGCCGTTGCGTTCTCTGCGCAGGCGGTGTCGCCGGATGATTCTTCCCAGCGTCGCCAGCGGGTTGGCCTTCCGCAGCTGTTTCTCGAGCCAGCCCCCCTGCCCCCCACTCGGGTTTCGCTTCTCAACGACGATACGTCCCCCGACCGTCACCACCTAGACAGAGGGCGGCGGTAGTATGGCGGAAAGGTAATCATCTCAAATATCTAGTGTGGACGTCGTACACCTCTGTATCCTGTACTCTAGTCCAGTGTACGAACGAGACTGGTCGATGATGCAATACTCGTACATGCGTTGCAAGGTTGTCAGACGTAATTCTCCTGCGGCACTTCATAGAACGAAAATCAAAATGATCAACCCGTGCGTTGAGCCGCGGTGTCGTGTTGGGGTTAGCGACAAACAAGATGCCGAAAAACGGGTAAGGGTAAAAACACTTGGCGTGGGAGCTCTAAAAATATAGCGTTCTTGATCTGTGTCGAAGCATGAAGCGTCAAGGACAGCGCGATGAGCGGAGCGATGCAGTCGGACGTGCGGCACTCACTGCACACACACGCCACGGCGGGGATTTTCCGAGGACCTACGAGAGAGAATGCACGGCTGCCGGGATACACGTGTTTGTGGGAATGCTGATTGCATGACCTCATGGCGATACTTGATTTAAAGCAAAAAAAAATGATCAATTCCTTCCATTCCTTCCACTCACCACGTCCCCCGTCTTCGTAACCTGGAGCACGATGTCGTCCCCAAAGTACCGCTGCGGTGGCCTACCGGGGACGTTCTTGGCCACTGCTGCTGTTGCCTCATTTTTGTCATCGTTGCTGCTGCTTCCGCCGGTACCGCTGCTTCTGTCTTCGCTATCGTCGCTGTCGGTGGCCCTTCGGCCCTTCGATGAGCGGCTGCGGCGGCCCGCTGTTGAGGAAAGGTTGGCGAGAATTCCAAGACCAAGCGGTGCTATGTCTTCGATTTCTTGCTTTGATTCAAAGTTTGTGTTTCTAACTTTTAACAATACGGTATGTACGCCCCATCGCACGGTTGGTAGCACAGACTTGTGAGCAAGGAATGCGCTTTTGCGTGTGTCAAGCTGGTCGGGCTCTATCCTGGACCTAGAACTCAAAACTCTTCGACGGCAACAAACAAACAACGAGAAAAGCAACATTTCCCCGTCAGCAAGGGTTGTCTCGAACTCCTGTGCCAAAATTTGCAGTGCCACGTAGCACTCTTTCCCCCCCCGTTCTTGCGAAAAACACCAACAATCCCATACTTACCAATTTTCGAATTAAGTTCACGTAGGACTCACGTACCACGGGTGTAATCCCCCCCCCCCCGCAACAACCGATTCTCTTGGTCAAAACAACTCAAGTATTTCGCGGTCTCGCGTCACCATCGCCTAAACCTGAAAGCCAGTGGGGGAGGGGAGTGAAACAGAGGGTTTCCTAACAAATCCAGGGGCAAAGTAAGCAGGTTTAAACGCACCTTCAGCCGTGCTCTCTGGTTGCTGCTGCGCGACGTTCTCTTCCTTGTCCTCGTCCTTGTCCTTGTTCACGTCCGACTTCTTCTTCCTCTCGCGAAGAAACTCTTGGAGTGTTCTCTCCATCTCGGCGACGACGTCTGCTGTCGGTTCCGTGGCCTCTCTCTCTTCGTCCTCGAGCACCTTCGACATCTCAAACCGTTTCCTCCTGCCGGGGATAGAGCGCATGGCCTGTGCCGGGTCGGCGGCGGCCAGTACCTTGAGGTCGGCGCGCTGGTCTCCACCGTCGTAGTCGGGGTTCAGGCCCGACAAGATGTTTTCCGTGCTGAGTGTCCCCGAGGGCCGGTTCTCGACGGCTTGGACCATCTCTTCGCGGAAAAACCGGTACCGCTGCGGGCCTGTGTGAAGCAAGCTGCCATCGAACCCCATGGCCATCACGTGCTTCTCGTCTAGACTGGTCATCGTGGACGGGAAGCGTAGCTCCTCGCCCACCTTCCCGAATCGTCAGAAAGTCAACAAACGCGGACAACAAACGCAGGCGCAAGATTGAGAACGCTACAACAGCAAGCACATCGCGTTGGCAAACCCGGTCATGTGTAAAGAGAGTGCGCATACCGCGCGAAGGGGAGGCGAGGGGAGGGCATTACATCGGACATATGAGAAGCGGCAATCACGTGATGAGCGGAAGAGACGTGTCTACGAAAAATAACTGTGGAGGAAACAGAACGGAGAAATAATGAAATAATAGAAATGAACACGCAGGCAGCCAGAAAACGAAGCGGAAGCAGCATCGAGCGTCATCCGTACCACTACAGCAGACCGGTGGCTAGACAAAAGACGGGTCTAACCAGGCAACCTGAGCCCAGCCAGAAGCTATCACATCTACCGTGCACTCGTTTCGAAACGAAAAAACGCAAGTTCTAGCGGGGTTTCAGGCTTGAGGGCATCTTCCGTGAAGGGAAGTTGTCATTCACCGTAATGTAGGACGGACTTAGTAGCTGTCGGTCTTGGAACGTGTGCTGAGCTGATGGAGAAAACAACGAAGAAAACTCCCCAGCAGTGGTAGAGGGCGGTGTGGTTCCCGCGCGCTGCCTGCCCTGCTGCTGCTCGCCCTGCTGCTCTTGGTGCTGCTGCTCATGGTGCTGCTGCTCGAGCTGTCGCCGTGTACGAAGCCGGCTGAGGACGTGCAGCCGCATCCAGGAGGGGTTCTCCGGGTAGGGTATCAAGACGGCCGACATGCCGGAGGTCGTGTAGCGGGCGTGGCAGTCGAAGAAGAACTCGCCTCCCGTCTGAACATGCACCAGGGAGTTGTTGTCTTCCTGTGATTGATTTAACGAGAGAGAAGCGATACCGGAGGTCGTCGAGCGAATGGGGAAGTAAGAAGGGAAAATTGTGGCGCAATGGAGCCGGCATTCCGTTCCTACCGCCTCATCCACAGAACGTATTGTGTGTCTGTGACAATGGTTGTTCGATTAAATACGTTTAGCGGAAGGAAGGTGCCGGCGTGCCACCTCGGAGTTTGATATGGCGGACACAGTGCGACTCTCTCACCGGACGAAAAAAACAAAAAACGACGTATGCATCACACCAGTTCCGCTCAGGTCGCTCCAAGCATTGCCGAGCAAATCAAATGAAACATGTTATTTCGAAGTATGTAGTAGAGGAAGCAATACTTGGAGATTTCGAGCAAGAAATGGGGACTACTGCAGATTTCTTCCCTTTTCGAGCTAGGTGGTTCAACTCAGCGTTTCATGTCTGGGCACAACTAGAAGCAACGAGACGGTGGTTTTAGGCAAGTGTGACACTACTCGGCGGACATTGAAGAGAGGGGAGGGGAAGAGTAGTTTCAGAGGGGAGGAGAAGGGTAGTTTTTCCTCTTTACGCTGTAGGCACTTATAGACGCTCAGAATTAGTCGTGACGGCAAGCGAACGACCAACACAGCAAATGACCATCCACCGCAGTCGCCATGGTAACATCACGACAGCACACGTGACTATGCACCTCAGATCCATCCTGGGGAACGGGGCCCTGCCCGTGGGCGTGCAATCCCACGTATCCCTGAGGCTCCACGGTGAAAATCGCTCCGGAGACCCCCTGCAACGCGGGAACACCAGCAGCAGCATCGCCTTGCTACGTTAAATGCAAACATGACAATTTGAGAGCACCGGAATTGCCACAACAACAACAAGAACAACAACAACATGAACAAGAAAAAGCGAAGAGCTTACGGACAACGTATCGTGCGTGCATCTGGTTGCAAACGTGCCTTGGTGAGTATTTCAAAGACGAGAGGTAGTCTTCCATCACATACACCCAGCTAACTTGCGTGGTTTCTGGCACATTATGGCCTACCGAACCTCGGTATTTTTTTTTGAAGAGCAAACAAACCCCCTCACCGGCCTGCCCACGTTGTTGCTCTACTAGTTTCGCCCCCGTTCACGCACACGCACACATACTTACCTCGAGCTTTTCCACGCGCATCGTGGAGACGACGAACCTCAGCTTAGCGTTCTCCTTGACGTGGAAGCGAACACCCTCCAAGTGTAGGACGGGTGTCTGGGAGAGGATGATCAATTCCTCGGTGATCTCGAGCAGCTGCAAAAAATGTAGTGGTTGTGGGGAGGTGGGACGGTGGGGCATCAGTGGGAGGGAAGGGAATGGAAGAGGGTGGAGGGTAGCCGAAAGAAAGAACGACAGAGCTGTGTGCGGGGGATGCCCTGATTGCTGTAGCTGTTGCTGTTGTTGCTGCTGCCGCATTTGTTCTTTTTGACGTTGTATCTCGTGACACGAGACTTTCTACCTTTGGAAATGAGATAGCCAAAGAGAGACAGAGGAAAACAAAGATACAGAGAAAATAATAAAGACGGACACACCCGAAACATTTGGCGGGCGGAGTGAGTGAGATTGAGAGAGAGAGAACGACATGACGTGGCATAAAGGATCCATTCTTCGATTTCCTTCACCCCGTCGTAAAAAAAAAACTCACCCTCTCCTCCCGGCACACGATGTCGCCCGTGATGAGCAGGACTCCTTCCATTCGCGTTCGACCCGAGCGGAGTTTGTCGCAAGAGTCGATTGCTTGGCCCGGGAGTTTCTCGATCTCATCGGAGGAAGGAAAACGGCGGCGCCTGGCTTCAGCTTTAGCGTTAGCTTTAGCGTTAGCTTTCGCATTAGCTTTAGCTTTCGCGTTAGCTCTAGCGCTAGCTCTAGCGTTAGTGCTGGTGTCGTCGTCGGGGTTGGTGCCGCTGTCGGGGTCGGCGTAGGAGTTGGTTTTTGTGTCGTCGTCCCCAGTCGTGGAAGCAGGAGGATCGGTGGAGGGAATGGGGGCGGGGGTCGAGTCGTGTCGCTGCGGGTCCTGGTCGGGCATGGAGACGACGGTGATGCTGGAGGTCGTGTAGCCGACAGCGGCCTCGAAGCGCGTTTTTGCGCCCTCCTTGGCACGCACGAGAGAGTGCGTGTCCTCCTGTTGGTAGCAACAAGGGGACCACAGGGGGGGTCACACATGTGAAGGCAGGCAGGCAGGTAGACTGGCATACGATACACAAACGTGAAGACTGATGAGGAGCGACACGGCGAGATGCTGAAACAGCGAGGTAGAATCTGGGACGGGAAACATGGCGAGAGGAGGGAAAGGGGAAGAGGGGGGTGATGGGCTGCATCTATTGGCTAAAGAGGAACACACCATGTCAATCGCGAACGGTCACGTTGCACGGGATGCTACCGGATTTGGTCTGCTGCCCGTCAAATGTTGAGGCGCCCCCCTTTGGGTCGAGGGAAAAGCAACTTGTGGCCCAAGCGCTAACGGCGTGGAACAATAAGCTCCACTTGATTTTCTACCTGTTGGCCACGGGTGTAGTAAGTATTCGATTTAGGGTGCTTTCAACAGTACCAACAACAACAGCAACCACACCAAGATCAATCTCACGTCCGTTGAATCCTCGGGGAGCGGGATAAATCCGTCAGCATTCATCGCCAGGAAGCCTTGCCTCTCGACCGTGAAGATACCCTCAGACTGACCCTGCCAGGCGGAACCAAGAACAACGACAGCATCAACAACGACATTGACATAACTACAGTATCATAACAACTACGAGATTGGATCAGGAGCTTCGATGACATCATTCTGAAGAGGCCGTCGTTTCCCGTCGCAGCAGGGGTTGTCGGTCCAACGTGTTTGCACTGTTCGGAAATTTCAGCACACGTCGGAGATGAACATCGCGAGTAAATCACGCCGCAAGTCCTCCTTCCACCCGCTGGGAAAATATCGTTACCCTGCGATCGCTCTGCGGAGCCACCCTTGAGCACGATCACCCCGGTTGCAACAGTGTGAGCTTCTCGGAAAATTGGATGATAGTTTGACATCCGAAGCTATCGCGATAATCAGCTCGTTCGAAAACACAGGGTTGTGGAGACAGAAATAAGCCAAACCTATTTGTTCCCTCCAATCTCAGGAGTACACGATCAAAAGCCTTGTGGAGTTGTTTCTACGATACGTGCTGAATAAAGCAAGCCGCGGTTTGGCAATCGAGCATAGCCTGCACGACTATGGTACTATATGTATTTCAAACATCGATTTCCTTGGCCCAGATGAAGTGCGGAATAGTCAGCAAGGTGGCAGCAGGGGGTGGATTTCTGTGTTTCGCGCGAGCGTCTCGTGTGTAGCAGTCGGCAGGGATTAAAAAGGACGGGGTAGTAGAGAAAGGAGAAGGAGGACTAAATAGGCATTTTATTGCCCCCCCCCTGATGAATGCTGGAAGGATCTACACAACAACTCAACAGCTGTGTCGCGAGGGAAGGGCAAGAGAAACGAGGACACTGCCGGGGCTCACAGATACCACCATATTCAATTTTATCCCCGTTGTGTCCGCCGCGTGTCTTGCATCCGGGGACGATCTACTACATCGCACAGCTCTTCCGCCTTACCCCCTTCCCGGCGTGTCTTCTGCTGCATGTGTCTCCCACACACGCGCGAGCACTGCTACGCAGATACAGTATGGACGAGAGACAACCGTGCTCTTCTTTTTCCCAAAATATCAACAAACACAAGCATCCACACATGTTACCTCGAGAGTTTCCAGGCGCATCGTATTTACGGCGAACCTAGCCACCGCGCTCTCCCGCACGTGGAAGCTGATACCCTTGAATCGAAGATTGGGTAGCATGGATACGATGTAAGCTTGCTCGTCGATCACGATCGTCTGACACAAAATGAGGGGGCACAGAAGAGGCGACATCGGCATGGGCTCGAGAGGGAGCACAGGTAATGATTGGTGTTGTTTGTTGGAGGTGGTAGTGTTGTTGTTGATGATGTTTTCGTTGTCATCGTTGTCGTAGAGTGGTATATGGTGCCTCGGCACTTTCCCGGTAGTGTATACATTGTAAGGAGATCTCCACCAGCCCAGGGGTAACAATTCTGATGTCAACAGATCGAAAACGATGTCAAGAATGTAGCAACCGTCATTTGCTGTGGGAATGACCAAGAACTCCCGGCCCAATCGAACCTGTCGACGCAAAACCCCTTAAGATCAACTCTAAGTTCCTCCTGCCTGTCAAAGTGGATGCGTACGTTCAGATTATTTGCGGTGGAACAGTGAAATTTCCAAACACACACCGGAGACACGCAGAGGGACGTAAATGCTACGAAGATCCGCAGATGAGGTATGCAAGTTGAGCGATAGAGAGGGGCCGAGAGAGCTACAGATGTCGCCACAGCATGAGGTGTTCAAGAAAACCCCAGTCAATATCTGCCAAGGTATACTCACTCGAGGCTCCTGACACATGATGTCGCCTCTAACAGACACCCTGCCATAAAACGGGTTGCGGTCGAACTCCAGCTGGTCGCACGAGACAAGGAGCAAGGATTGGACCCCGTCGACGGCGAGAAGCCCCTGGTTCGTGGCTGCGGTGGTAATGGTGTCGCCCCCTGTGGTAGCCAAGTAAGGCTGGTCGGAGGGTGTCGAGTTGTCTCGCTGCGGGTTCTGGTCGGGTGTGGAGACGACCGTAATGCTGACGGCCGTGTAGCGGACAGCGGCTTCGAAGTTCAATTTTGCGCCCTCCTTCGCACGCACCAGAGAGTGTGCGTCCACCTGTCGGCATGGCCAACACGGGAAACACGGGGGGGGGGCACACATAGGCAGAGGTTTAGCCGGATGGACGGACAGGCGGAAATCAAGCATATGGAAGGACATGAGAAGAGACACGCAGCGAGAGAATGAGGTTGTGAGGTTAGGTGCGGGAATGGCCGAGAGTAGAGAAATATGACCAAGAGGCAGGAGAGGCTATCGTGTCTTTTCCGATTCCTACAATCGGATGTCAAAGGCAGCGACGTGGCAATAGCAACAACGACAACAACGACAGCAACAGCATCATTCTCACGTCCGTGGAATCCTCGGGGAACGGAATAAAACTGTCGGCGTGCAGCCCCAAGGCGCCTTGCGGCTCGACCGTGAAGATCCCGCCAGACTGCCCCTGCCAAGCGGAACCAAGAACAACAACAGCATCGAAAACGTCATTGTTAATGTCATTGCAAACACATCAATGACAAGAATAGCAGGAACAGCGCAGCGATGGAATCATTCCCGAGAGGCCGTTGTTTTCCGTCGTAAGGGTTAGGGTTCAATGTAGTTGGACCGCTATTGACACCTTTCGACGCTTCAGTACACACCGGAGATGAACACCGCGAAAAAAACACGGCAAAACGCCTCCTTGCACGCCAGCAAATAGCTACAATCTTGGACTTTGAAGTATGCTACCCTACGATCGCTCCACGGAACTAGTTCTGAAAACCTCCACACCGGCCTTAAGAGTGCGAGTTTCTCGGGAATGGGATGATGGTGGTTGTCTCGAAATCCGACGTATTATCTCGAAATGAGTAGTAGTATGATGGTGGTTTTCTCGAAATCTGAAGCTTTCTTGCGAAAAGGTTAGAGTAGTATGGAGTTGCAGCGTTTAGGAGACCGAAATAAAGCTGTTCCCTTCGACTTTAGGAGAAAAAATTCAAAAGCTATGTATGCTTGTTTCAACGCCAACGACTAATATCATCGACCTCAGTTTGGCGATGGGGCGTCTGGCGGCTACTCCTTTTACCCTTTCTTTTGGTAAAGCCGATCGATACCTTTGGCCAAGACAAACTGCGAAAGGGGGGGGTGGGGGGGGGGTGGGCGTACTCATTTGTTGCTTGCCTTAGTCATTTGACCATTGACCACGCGTCCCTTTCGAGACGGAGCACCGTTCCTACCCCCTACTAGAGACACCACCAACATTTGGGAGCTCTTTTCGTTTCTGCCACAAACTACATAAAAATTTCTTGCACATCTTATCCCCCTCCTCTAGGGCCTCTTGTGCCCACCATCTATCCCCAATTATCGCGATCGTTTTTTTGCTGTTGTCTCATTTACCAAACTTGTCCATGTCACACCCTCTCTGTCTCATTTCCTCCTCGAGATCCCCTCTTTCCTTCCTGTACAACTCGCACTCCCCAACTATGTGGGGTCTACTCTCCTCCGATTTGCCACTTGGGGAGGGGGGTGGGGGGGGGGCTGGACCTCTCTCCTACGGCTGGTATAAC